CCCCCACACATGACGTAGCCTACACAGCCTTCCATCCCTCTGTAGTCCTCGGTCCCAATCCCAAAGGCCCACAGAGCAGGGGGCTGGATGGAGACACAAAGCAGGCAAGGTTTCAGTCACCCAATGATTAAGCAACAGCACCACCAGGCTCCTTTGGGAGGCAGTGTTTTAGATTGGCTAAAATACTGACCACAAACCTGAAAAAAGAAAAAAAAAAAACTACCCAAATTATGAACAGAGCTTCTATAAGGAGCTAAGGCAGCTTTATATCTATGACATACATGTGTATTAAGCCCCCGTGACCGTGGATCAAGGATGAGGGTAGCCTTGCTGTCATTCAGAATGTATTGGAAAGTGGCAGATGCAGTTAGGTTAAAATTTAGCACTCTATCATTCTATCTCCCTTATGATCCATTTAAATTTGTTCTACTCTTTAATTTTGTATGTTTTCTTTTTGGCTGAGGTATTTTATGTTTTGCTTTGTTATTGCTATTTTTTTGTTTTTAATGTTTTTCTGATTATGAGAGGCAGGATGGGTAAATCTAAGAGACTATAAGGAAGACAGGAAGCTTATAAAGCATAATGTTATGCTGGGTCATTTCTATTTTAAATCAAGATGAAGCTGAGATAAGAGTAGGGTGAAGTGCATTATTTTTTTTTTCAGAAGAGAGAAAATACAATTTCTTACATGTTTTGCAGCAGTTGTAACACCATGACCACACTGAAGATCGGAACCAACAGTGTACCTGGTGTGATTGCCTCTGTTGATGTCCACACCACCAAGCCCAGGTACCCTGTGGCTGCTGGAAGCCCTGGGCAGACTACAGGGGTGATTACTTACCCAGCCTCCTCAAGCATGGTCCAGGGTGATGCTGGGAGAGTGCATGTACAGAGCCCTCCCATGGTGCTCCAGAACCCAGCAGGAGTGGCAGTTGCACAGAGCCTACCCATCATCCTCCAGTGTCCAGCAGAACAAGTGTGTTTGCAGACGCCACCCACAGTGATTCAGGATGCATCAAGAACAACCAATGTCCAGACCCTGCCCCAGGCCCCTCAGAACCCTCCAAACTTCATCCCTCCGCCCCCAGGCACCTCAAACCCATTTCAGTGGAACATGTCGTTTGGAACCTTTTCCACATTTGACCCCAAGGAATTCATAAATGAGGAGGTCAGGACATTGGGGGTGAGTGTGACTTCCTTTTCTCTTTGGTTTGGGTCCCTTCTACGTCCATTCCTAGTGACCTTGCATGAAGAAGGGAGCAGACGTAGAGGGTAAAGGACAGAAGGGAGGGTGTTGTTGTCATTGATAGGTGCTGCCCAAGAGGTTCCAACCCATAGCAACCCCAACTACATCAGAGTGAAGCACTGGGCGATCTTGCGTAGCCTAGGCTCGAACCCTTTGTTGCAGCCACGGTGTCAACCCATCCCATTGAAGGCCTTCCTCTTCTTCGCTGCCCCTCCACTTTACTAAGCATGATGGCTTTGAAGGGAGAGTGGCTGTTTCTAAAGACCAAACCCAGGAGGCCAGCCCCTTCTTTGCCTTTCTCCCCATCCGTGGTCTTTGGAAGTAGCTGTACAATGGGTACAGCCTCCTTCTACTTATCTGGGACAGGAGTCCACAAAAGCTTCACTCAAAAGGCCATGGATCATCAAGCCAGGTGATCCCAGTTTCAAGGCCAAGTGGATTTTCTGTGACCTGAGGGACACTCTTCCCCCATCAGGTCATCCTCCTTAGAATGAGAAGGTCTATCAAGAGGCTAAGGAG